ATATATTATTATTTAGAAATTATAATTATTATTGTTAGAACTTTGAAGAATATAAACATGGATTTTGGAACAATTATTGCAATGTCTGTTGCTCAAAGGGTCCAGGGGATCTCATAGTCGAGTAATCTCGACTCGCGACCAGAGTTTTCTCACTTGTTTTTATTCCTCTAAAGTAGGCTGTTTATTAGTTTTAATTTTTTTTTTTTTTTTTTTTTTTTGTAATGTTTCATTAGTTAACATATTTCACTACGCTTCGACACTTTTAGTATTTATAGTCAGTTCTTTAGCCTATTTTTTCCGATTTTAAATTGCAAACAGTATAAAAGAGGTCAAAGGTCTACTTGAGGCAAACGTACCTATAAAAATTATTTGAACTACTTTCGGTACAATTGTAAAGAACCCCAAAATTCGTTGAGTTTATTGCGCTCGCACCTCAACCGAGGAGCAGCGCTTATAAGAACATCTCAGTCGTTTCGGTTAACCTTAAGTACACGCACACATCAATAGCCAACGACAGCGCTCAAACCCCATAACGCAACTGAGCCTGAACCTGCTGTGTAGGCTCGATACAACACCGTCACTGCGTGCTCCCAGTCAACACCGCTAAAGACGAGGTTTAACTGCCGATAATATGAAGGCCGAGCAATTTAATCGGCTAATGCGAGTTAATGGAGGCAAGAATCTTTGGCTACTGCGCAACACCAATCAGCTATACGAGAATGCGGTTAAGACCTACTATTCACGCAGCACCTCACTGCTACCCTATAGTCCGGGTATGTCTATAGGCCGGAAGGCCACCTGCAGCTACTGAATTCTTGATAAGATTGTGCGAGAGTTAGTATACCCCTGAGATCCAGATGAAGGAGAGGAAGAGAAAGGTAGGAGCAGAAAATCGAAAATCAGAACAGGAGAAAGAGAGACACTGGGAGAGATAGAGAGAAATCGAATAAACGAGTTGATATAGAAAAAGAGTGATATAAAGAACGGAGAAGAGAGAAGGAGATATCATGAGCGGGGTAGCTGAGTAGCGTGATACATGGAAAAATAAGGAGGAAAAGAGATAGAATTATACACAAAGCGGGAGAAAGGAAAACTGAGATACGCACTAAAGAGAATAGAGCGAGAAGGGAAAGCTGTATTTATATGAGAGAGAAAAATGGCATAGAGAAAGAGATAGATAGAGAGAGAGAGAGAGAGAAAGAGAGAGAGAGAGAGAAAGGAGAGAGACAGTGAGAGAAAAATGGGCAGAGAAGAGGCTAGTAAAAGAAAGATATATATAGAGTGAAAAAGAGATGGAAAGTGTGATATAACGAAAAGAAAAAGGAGAGATATAGAGAAGGAGGTCAAAAAGACGAAAAAAGATTGATATAGATAAATTTACATATGAAGAGAGAAAGAGAAAAAGCATAATAAGTTTATCCTGTATAAGTATGTATAAGAAAAGATGTACTAACAGAGAAAGAGAGACCAAAGGGGAAAGCTAGGAGTAGACTAAAAGGGAAAGAGAGATATATGTACAGTAAGAGAGGCCTTAAGGAGGCAGAAAAGAGAGAAAGAGGAAGAAGAATGAAAGACAGTCAAAGAGATGATACAGGGCGTCATAGGAAGGGCGAGAGGGAGAGAGCGAAAGAAAGTAAACGAGTGAAAGAGAGAGAATGAATATCAATTGGTCGTTAGCTCCGTAGTTCTAATTCTAATTCGCTGAGTTATTATTTTACAGTGGTTTGTTTCTCAGACTTTTATTGTAAATTGTAAGTTTCGATATGCGTATATATAGATTATCAAATTTTATCATTGGTAAGTGGGTTACGACTGAGAGTTGTAGAACAGTGAAGAGTCTAACAGCTCGATAAGCCTAGAGCAGGAATAGTCTTTGTCGCCTTTACAATTAATATTAACATGTCTCTCTCTCTCTCTCTCTCTCTCTTTCTCTCTCTTTCTCTGTCTATTCCAATCCTAAGAGGTACCTCAAACTGTTAGGACTCGAGAAGAGAACCAAGCACCGGTACGGACGTTGGCAGTGCGGCGGGAACGCCATTCGGTCACAGAATACCCACGCAATCATAAGCAAATGGCCGACCAGGCCGCCTCGGTCAGCTCCGGCCAATTGCTAAACACTGTGATGCAGGCGAGCCGTCGCCGATCGATGTCCTTCACAGCGGGCGGTCTTCGCATGTACAGCAACCAGCTGCTGGACAACAGCGACGAGGTGCAGGAGAGGCTCAGTCCGGAGAATAGCAGCACGATGCTCAACGATGCAGAGCAGCCGGCTAATGAGCCGCTAAGGGAACGAGATCTTGACCTGTGTGCGTTGAGTGGTCGATCGATGAGCCTGCCGCCGCGCACCACGCTCGAGTTGGGCATGGGCTACACGCTTGGCAAGGGCAAGGGACCGCCCAGCTGCAAGCATCACTTCATTGCGCTCGAGAAGACAATGAGCGCGAATCAGGCGTCCATGGCAAAGCAGCGGAAGCGCAACAAGTATGACTCCGATGCCGAGCAGCTGATGGTTGTCGACGAGGCGCTGAAGCAGCGCCTTGCCGTACGCTTCGATCGGCAGTCGGAGGACGAGCCAAACTCGGCGCGCTTTCGCGTGGGCTACGGTAGCGCCAGCCTGATCCATGGCCGACATATGCCAGGGACGCAAAAGTCATATAAGCTGCGCAGCGAGAAGTCCGCGCCCCACGACATCGGCAAGGAGCACACACACTTCCACACACTCAGCGAACGCATTCGACAGTTCGAGGTCATTCAATTCGCTGACGGGCCGGTCACCTTTCAGGCGTTCAATCGACGCCAGGGCTATGGCAGCGGACGGTACCAGTCGACGGGCAGCAAGCACCTGCCCAAGCAGCAGCCCTGCCTGAGTTTCCACAATGTGTTGCACACGAATCACAGGCAGCGCAGCCTCAGCTTTCAGACGCGATCGCAGTCGCACGAAATGAGCCCCGAGCTGGAGGAGGAGCTAAAGCCAAAGTCAAAGTCAAAGCCGAAGCCGAAGCAGAAGCAGAAGCAGAAGCAGAAGCACCAGACGCCGCTGGCCATGAAAGCAAACAGCAAACGCAGTGCGCCGACGCTGGGGCAGCTGGGATCGCGATCGGCCAACTGGCGACCACAGCAGCAGCAGCAGCAGCAGCATCAGCATCAGCATCAGCAACATCAGCGCCCGCAACGACCGAAACACATCATGGACGTACTGGCCCAACAGATCCCATCAGAACCCCCGGCCATGCAAAATCTTTTGTCAGACAATTCCAAAATGAGGCGTAAGCGTTCCAATACGCCGTCCAAAATCTTGAAGAGCAAGTCGAAGTGGTCCGTCAAGCAAGCAAGCAGCAAACGGAACCTAAATCAGAGCACCGGCCGCAAGGCCAACGCAAAGTTCGTCATAGACGCCAATGACAATCAGATGCAGAAATCGGCCGTGCTCGGCCGCGACACTGATGAAGACATCGAGGAAGCTCTGCTGAAGCCCACGCCCCGATTCAATGCTGATAGCATTGAGAGCGTGCCGCCTAAGGCGACCGCCTCCAACAAGCTGAGCCGCACCAGCCACTTGACCTTCATCAAGGATACGGTTCGGCGACCGGACCCGGCGGCGTCCCCTCGCCTGGACGCCCAGCTGCAGGAGCTGAAGAACCTGAAGCAGTCGACCCGACGAGTGCACTCGGAGCTGCCCAAACAGCCGCCAGCATCGAAGGGCGCCCACCATCTGCTGGCCTCCAGCGCCACCCAGGTGTCTGCTCACAAGCGCGCCTTCAAGAACCGGCAGCAACTACAGCAGGCCGAAATGCTGCACCTACAGGCCCAGCAGCTGCCCACGGAACTGCAGCTGAAGCAGCAGCAGCAGCTACAGCAGCACAAGCAGGAGCAGCAGGAGCTGCGGAACAAGCGCTTCCATCAGCAGCAGCAATACCAGCACCAGCTGCGCTTGGCCAAGGAGCAGGCAACGGTGCGGCAGCCCAGCTACTTTCCCACAGTTAGCAAGAGGAGTTCGATGCCTCAGGCGAAGCCAGAGCCGCAGGCCGTGGCCAAGCTGCCCGTGCGAATGCCGTCAAGTTCGACGTCGCAGCTTCAGTTCAAGAAGCAGCTTCAGCAGCAGCTGCAGCAACAACAGCAACAGCAGCAGCAGCAGGAAAAGCCGTCTCAATCCGTTAGGCAGGCACTACCAAAGATTAGGTCGGGGCGGCAATTAATGCCGGAGGGCAACAGGTCAATGCCGAAGCAATTATCGCTGCCGCTACTCGGACCGGAGCCGCACGGAAGCCGCCAGCATCGGGCTTCATCAATAGTTGTGCCCCTTGAGGTGACGACCAAGCAGAAGCGAAAGCCGGTGCCGCGCTTGGCGTACAGCTACAAGACAGTTGGCCAGACCAGCGCCTCGGAGGAGTCCATTGCCACTATCAGCCAACAGCGACAGCAGCAGCAGCAACAGCAACTGCAGCAACAGCAACTGCAACAGCAGCAACTGCAGCAGCAGCAACAACAGCAGCAACAGCTGCTGCTGCAACAAAGGCTTCAACAACAGCAGCAACAGCAACAGCAGCTGCATCAGCGTCAGCGGGAGCAGCCGTACCAGAGTTTTTGGCGACGCAGTAACTAGATGGTAAATACTCAAAATACACACACATACACGCACGATATAGCCAGATACACTATCAGACTCACACGCACACGCACACGCACAGAGAGAACCCCGACAGATTTAAACACACACACACACATACAAAGATGACACACACACATACACACACACACACACACACACACACAAATGACCCAAATACCCAGTTGCGAAGCACTGCATTGACCTGTCCCACACGAAACCAACAAAAAATAACATAAAAGCCAAGCGACACTCGTTCTGGACAATAATAAAAAATATGCCCAAAATGTAAACATTGTGAACTGCGATTGGGAATGCTGCTCTTTTGCTACTCCTCCAGTGTTCGTGACAAACCGGCAAGCGGGTGTATTAGCTTGGTTGGATATACCTATGTCTGGCTTCAGGTAGAGTCCTTTGACTCCGACCACATCGGGAAGAGTAGAGTAGAGAGAGTAGACTCTACTCTCTCCGATGTGGTCGTATAAAGAACAGAGGAAGATGGAGAGAGAGAGAGAGAGAGAGAGAGAAAGAAAGAATGAGAGAGATAGAGAAAGAAAAGGATAGAGGGATAGAGAAAGAAAAAAAGAGATAGTAGAAGGAGAGACAAGAAGAAGATATAATAGAAAGGGAGTAAAGAAAAATAGATAATACAGAAGGAAGGGAAGAGCAAAGGTGAGAGAGAGAGAGGAGCCAAAGAGATGAAACACGAAGAAAGAAAAGCGAGCGGAATCGACACAATGAGGCTGATACAAGGGAAAGAAAAGTGATGGAGAGGTATGGCGAGAGAGCTATAGAGAGAGGGAGAGAGAAAGAGAAAGACAGACAGAAAGAGAGGGAGGGAGAAAGAGCCACAGATATACAGAGAGCAAAGATATTTATGCATATGTCTCTGTATATTTATTTTCCTGTTCTCTTCTCATCTCATTCTACACTCTTCTATTTCCCCTTGCTATCTTTTCCTCTCTCTGTCTATCTATTTCCCTCTACTCTTCTCTTTTCTTCCCTTTCCACTCTCTCTCTCTTTGTCTTTCATTCTCTCTCACTCTCTCCGCCAATCTACAAGCAAATCTTTAAATGATATCGGAAAATTGTTTGATTTTCTACTGAATTCAGCTTGTATCTGGATCATGGTCAGGTATTAGGCAGTCGATTGACCCTGACTGCAGCATAGTTGATTGTGGTGCGTGTGTGTGTGGGTGTGTGGGTGTGTCTCTGTGTGTGGATGGAGTGTGGTTTCGTTTGCCAAAGGCCAATACTAATTTCAATAGCCCACAGTCAAACACACATACACACACACATACATAGAGCAAGAGAGAGAGAGAGAGAGAGAGACACACAAATATACAGCGGCATTAATTTTTCATGCAGATTTAACCGTTACATGACAGCACCAACTAACGATAAGCTGCGCAAGAAAATGGCGACGGCTTTTCCACAGTTTCCAGCCATGGAGCTGGAGCTTATGAGGGCGGGGGCGAAGGGTGTTGGGTGGGGGGTTGCTGGTTGCTGGTTGCGGGGTGTTTGGACTGCCGCTGGCTTGTCAGCCTGCAAATTCTAGCCGCGCTTTTGATAAATGATGATGCGTTGTACATGACTCGTCGTATATATATAGACATATATATATATATACATATATAGACGTATATATGTATATATACTAGTGGTCCATGGAGGAGCTACAGCATCACATCATAGGCATCATAGGCACAGCAAGGCGCTCACTCACTTCCTGACTGACGTGGACTAACTATGCCTGGACTGGCGGTGGGGGGCTTTGGCCTGATTATCAGATTGACAAACGAACCTATTGACGACGCAAAGACACAAAACAACAACAAAATTATATAGATAGATGGATATTTTGATATTTACTAATAGAAGAACTCCCAAGGAAAAAAGAGCCAGAACAAAGTTTTTCTGTATCCGTGAGAGCGTAGCTCAAGACAATTTAACTGCTGTACTAAATGACGGAATGAATGAGTGAATGAATGTTGAAATGAAACGGAAACGGTAAATAACAATGAAATTTAATTAAGCCTTACAGTTCTTTAAATGTGTTTTCATTTTGCTATTCGAAGTACGAGAATGAATGGACATCATTCGACATCAGGAAATCACGATTAGCTTGTGTTACATAAGATAGAAGGAGAGAGATAGAATATATCTCCAATTTCAGTCTACTTCCACGGAACGAAAAGGCGGTAAATGAAATCAGTTCGGAAATATATGCATATGTATTTCCTATCCAAGATGTGCTACATTTATATGTATAAAGAAACAATTGAGAGTGGTAGGGAGTATATTCCAATCATACTTCTCTACCTTCTTCTTCTTAATAACTCATCAAAGCTGGACAATGACTACCGAATATGTATTAGACAAAGAGGAAATGCCATGGCATAAATAGTGGAATGGACAGACCTAACCTAAAATAAACAAAGTTTGTCCATTCATTACAGACAAGACCACATAAAATTTAAAACATTCATCTTATGTAGCAAAATAATAATCGATATTAAATCGTAATCGATATTAAATCGCAAAAGGGGTTTGAAAAAAAAAAAAGAAAAAGAGCAACTCATAATGGAAATATTTTCCGGTATCTAGCTTAGGAGATGGCTGAGTTAATACAGAGGGACGAACGGACAGCAAGTTGATTATGACTAGATCAGCTCAAAAGTTGTTTTAATAAGGCATGTAAGCCCACACTGCAGTCCATGCATGCTTATTCATGTTACTTGTTTAAGCAAAACAGAAGCGAAGAATTAGGGATATATTAGATGCTCGAATTATAGCTAAACTTAACAGAAATCAATTTACCGGTTTGTAAGGATCATGATTAAAAATGACAAGTTCATTCTGCTTATGTTATACAGTCTCCATCTTTGGTGGTTTTGAAGATCAGTGTGATCACGTACGACTCAAGTTGCTCCCTAAGTCCTTAAAAAATCTCCAATGTGCAGTGTATAAAAACCATATTTACCCTGAACTCACATTTTTATTTAGTGTGCAAGTAGTGGAGTGTATGCAGAAGTGTAGAGTGTATGCTGCTACATATATCTAAAACATGAATTAATTAAGCTAATTAATCTAAAGCTTATAGCGCGAGCGCAGGATATTGCGCAGGTGCAGCTCCAGCTCCATGTACACGATTGGGGGCACCGCTCTGT